AACTCCTTATTTTGAAAAAATTTACAGGCCTTTTCACTAAGATGGTCTAACCTTTTATGCCATAAATCTGATTTAATCACTAAGTTCCCAATATCTTTTGGAAGAACATGTTCAGAATTTATTACATAGATTATATTTATTTTTGGTGTAATGACAATCAATATCTAATTTTTCTTTATATTAGTATATTTATTTTTAATTTATACTTCATAATCCTTATCATCTAATACTCCTAAAGAGCTCAGATTTCTTCTCAATGCTGGAAAATATCTAATTTTCTTTAAGGTCATTAGATGATTGCCTTGTAACCTCATAACAATGTTGACAATGCCTTTAGCTTAGCAGCTATCATTGTTTATTCAATTTTACAAGTTATCTATTTAAACTGAAAAAATTAGTAACCGATTTTATTAGAACACTTACAAAATATGCAGTCTGAATTAAGAATCCATTCTAGATTATTTCTCTCCATAAGAAGAAACATACGCTGCACTCATATTGATTTCTTTTTCCCTAAAACCAGTACAAGAATATTCATTCTCATTTTGCGAATCATTCTATAGACCAGATTTTTTTAAAGAAATCCTTCATTAAGTGGCCTAATTAGTCACAATAATAACATTTCTCGTTCTTTGTCCTTCCTTCATTATTACATTTCTTATCTTCCCCTTATTATTTGACCATCCCTTTTTACTATAGTTTTTATCTTTATTTTGATTATTGTTACTATAAATATAATTACTCTTACCTTTTACATATCATTTTGAATTAGTGCTTAAATTCTCAATATTTCACACTTCTTTTTGTTCAATTTTAAGTTTTAAAAGAGAATTGTGAATAATCTCAACGGTTAAGTTTTCTCATGGTGCATTCATCAGATATTTTCGCACCTAACCTTCTAACTTAGCGCTAAGTTCAAACTTAAAACTAAAGAATTGTCTCTAGAGAAACCATTTATTTTGTAGGGTTTTAGTAAAGTATAACTTTTCAAGAGTTGTCCACAGAAAATGACAGCATCAATATAAAAAAATAATAATAATAATAATAATAATAATAAAAACCTTCAACCTTAGAAGTCGTTCTAGTTGTAAGTGTAGTGGTATCGATTATGTTATCTAAGTACATCAAGTTATCATAAATGTCTTTGATTGTGAACTAATTACAAAAATCACACATAGCAAGATAAAATCATAAAAAGGGTAATTTATTCTTCACAGTTGTGCCAATTATTTTTAAAAAAACCTTGCTTACACTCAGTCTACAGAAATATAAAATATCTACATTAAAAAAAAAAAAAAAATCCACCAAACATCTTTAACTATTTACCATGATATCACAAATATTTCAGATAAAATACGTACACATAAATATTTTCAAGTGTACAACAGTTCATTTAAGAATTTACCAGTCACATAGACGAGACTGTACACGAAACAGTAAAACAGCACACACTAAGAAACAATTAATTTATATTGACTTTTCGTTTGACCGTACTCTTATTCCCTCATATTCTAGGACTAGGATTCTCTTTTTGTAGGAGATTTTGTTGAATTGATAATTTAACACCGAAATTAAACCAAAAAGGAATTGTTACAAGGACTGAGATCTCAAAAGAAAATACAAGAATACTATAGCTGTAAAAGTTCAAATCCAAGAAGTTTCTTGAAGAACATTAATAGATCACTACAGATCTAGGATTCATCGGTCATTAATTGTCACAAATGGAAGAACGAGAACCATAGTGGTCTTAACTGATTCTTACACCACCGTTAGTCCTAGTATTGGACTCAACTAACATCAAGAACAAAAGATTTAATAACAAAATACTAAATAATACAAGATTTTTTTTTGCCTAAGCCCCAATGGTTCGGTGATCTTTTCAGATACCTAGTCCCAATTTGAACATTCATTAAGGATTATGCTCAAATCCACTAGCACAATCTCAAATTACATGGCAAAGGTCAGAATACAATAGTTCTCAACATAGAGAACACGAAGAAGTCTTTATACAAGCTTAAATATAGAGCTAAGCTTAATCTGTACAGCTATTTGTTGTTATCTTTGAATGCTAAATCACTTCCTTCCCTTTATGTTTCTGTGCTTGAGATCGATGTCACTTTATGTTTCAAAGATGAGCATCTTAGATTATTTTGTACCCTGAAAATTGTGATCATGTTATCGCACAAGCAGTCAACATTCTAGTTCTGTTCCTCAGACAATTTTTTTCTTGGATCCAAAATTTGTTAGTTTGGCTCAACAAATAAAATATTTATCTTTAGAAATGTCACTTTTTTATGATTATATTCTTGCACATAATCAAATGAGCATATTTTGGTAGGGATGCACACTGACCACACCATCACCACGCCAATTTAACATTATGGGCTCTCAAGAATCAAGATCCCCACTACTATGTGCTGAGTGAAAGTTTGAAAAGATAATTGCATCTCTCAGTAAAAGCAAACACACTGATAAAAAGCTTATTGAGGATTGTGATTTTTGTTCCTTTCTCTTACTTTCAAGACTGACTGATGTTCTTTTGGTTTTTCTTTATCTTTCCAAAGGATTTACTATGCATGCTTTGTTCAACTTTTTGTCTTTCTGATACAACCTTTGGTACCATTATTTGGGATAAACAATATTTTGAATAATGATTTTTTGGAGAATGTGTGGTTAAAAATTATAGAAAAGTTTTAGTTTATGTGCAGAATATCTTTATTGTTTGAATGTGTTGTTGAAAATTTATGCGTTGGAAAAAGAGTTTTCAAATAATGGTTGTCAAACACGAGCTTAATTTATTTGATTTTATATGAGATTCAAATTATAGTTTTGAACGATGAATCTCAAGTCCGATAAAGGAGGAGGAGGATTGTTGTAGGTGGACAACCACCATAAAACTTTATCATGTATTTTGATACGAGTCTTTCAAGTTGCTAAGTAAGTCAGAAGATTAGGATCAATTCACTTTTGATCAATCCTTTTGGGTCATTAACTCTCCTTGAGAAAAGTTTTGGATGACCATTTTCCTTGCCTAATTATACAACTCAAAATATTAAGGATCCGTTATAAATTAATTTTTTTTGCAAAATATATGGTTAAAAAGTATGGAAATGTAATCCACGAACAAAATTATTTTATTCATAAAAATATGTGGCGGAAAATAAGTTTGAAGCAAAAAAGTGTTTTAAAAAATTTGTACCCAAAGGGGCTAATTTTATGCTAAAAAACTAGGTTTTCAATGCTGTTCAAGTTTTCTCGTTTACTTTATTCTTGTAGATGTTTTCCTAAATCTCAAAATAATAATAGCCCCATGTGGTGGTAGACCTTGAAAATGCCAAAATATTTGGTTGTCTTGGTCCCAACATCATCTTATTTTATTAAATTTTACCTTAATTGCAGTAGGGTTAGGTTTAGGACAACTCATTTTGCTTAGCCATGCACATGGCTTTATCACAATGGTAATGAAGAAAACAAATTTATAAAACCTACTCATCATACTAAAGAAAGCATTAACAAAGAATTTGTGCTCCAATGGTGCATAGCACCATTTTTAGTACAAAATCATTCAATAACATTACAAATAATTATGATATCATAAAACCATTGTAACCCTTTTTCTTTTCTTTTTTTAAATCTTGTTTTTCTTTTCTTTTTTTAAATCTTGTCTAGTTGTGCGTAACATTTGCCAAGAGAGACGTAATATCTATTATAAAGTGGGATAATATTAACGTAATTAACTCGAAGAACGTTAGATGTAGTTTAATAAATTGTAATACGAACAAAAATAAAAAACTAGAAAACAAAAGTCTAAGAATGCAGAAAGATGTGAATACAAATACACAAGTTTCCAATCAAGAAAAGGACGTGACGAAGAAGAAACCATGTGAACTTGACCTCATCAGAGGTATAGAATCTCACTGAAACAAAGATTCGAAAAATGGCTATAAGGAAAGAAACAAACAATGCATTTAAAGAATAATGTAGTTTCATGCTAAAGACATGGGAGGCTTAATTATTAATTAGAAAGACAGCATTAGATTCTGCTTTACTTACTATATTCCATTCTTCTGACTTTTCCTTTCTTTATTATTGCTTTCTCCATTCCTTTGGTTTCTGCTTTCACTTTCTACTTATTTAATTATTATTTTATGCATTGCCACTTAGATTATTCAATCCTGCTTGAAATACACACACAGTGTGGACCATCACAATGTTTTTTTTATTGCATGTGGGGCCCACCTACTACGGTGAAGGACCTAGCAAGCCCCTATGAAATTAATCTCTATCCCTGTACTCAGATATTTATTCTAGATCATTTACTTGGGGGTGACAGCCAAGAATCTTGAAAACCCTCGGAAAATCGTTTTACTTCGGACTTGTTATTTGTACATTAATTTTTACATAAAAAATTACATAATGTCAACTTGTTTTATTGTCTATGCCCCCATTTGGAGGCAATTTTTCATTCCAAAAAATCAATTTTTCGATTGTTATTTCACTATTTCAAGCATCATTTTACTTCAATCACATATAAGATCCACTTTTCTCTCTAACAATCAAAAAATCAACTTTCATTATCGCTACCGAGCAGGCCCTATAACTATTGAGGCATGCTCAAGTGTTGGAGCCCTTCTATGCTAGGACATTTCTAATATTCAAGAGTTGCTCTTCGCCACTTGGAGGCAATTTTTCATTCCAAAAAATCAATTTTTCGATTGTTATTTCACTATTTCAAGCATCATTTTACTTCAATCACATATGAGATCCACTTTTCTCTCTAACAATCAAAAAATCAACTTTCATTATCGCTACCGAGCAGGCCCTATAACTATTGAGGCATGCTCAAGTGTTGGAGCCCTTCTATGCTAGGACATTTCTAATATTCAAGATTTGCTCTTCGCCATGCGGGTTTTTCATCCTTCAATAAATCTAGCAATGAACCGAATAGATCAATGACTATAGTAGATCTAGCAATGAATTAAATCAAATAGAAGAGATGATTCATGCAATGTGCAAAAATTAGAGAGAATCACAAGCTAAATGGCTTGTTAGACAAACAGGAAGTGAAAATGAAGGGATTACAGTAAGCAACAATATCCAAAAGAGTCCCAAATCGGAAGCCGGAGAAAAGGAATCCGGTTAAACAATCAAAACTTGGAGAAGAAACTAAAACATGTAGCTAGAGGTAAAAAATTTACGAAAACAACTTGAGCAAAAGAATTATAACAATGATCTGAATTCTCCATACTAAATACCAAACCGGATTCTTCTTCGCCGGAGATGCCATTGCGAATGCATCGAACCCCGGACCTCTACGAGTTATTTGAAGTCATCCTGATCTCCAGAAGGGCTTCTAACCAGCTCCAATATTTTAACAACTTCGGCCATGTCTGGCCGGTTTGAAGGCACTTGTGATGTACAGATTAAGCCCAATTTCATCACTGGAATTGCCGCCTCAGCTGGAAATTTCCCTTGCAGCCTAGCATCAACACATTCCTCTACCTTGCCCTCTTCCAATGCTCCTCTGACCATGTCACAAAGCACTACCACATCATCCTCCATGTACTCAACAGGCCTCTTCCCAGTAACTACCTCAAGAGCCAAAACCCCAAAACCATACACATCACATTTTTCCGTTATCTTAACGGTTCTGCATGCAAATTCAGGTGCCATATAACCGAGGGCACTCTGAATCTTGCTGCTCAAAACATAACGATCCAACATAGGTAACAACCTCGCTAAACCATAATCAGCAATCTTAGGTTCACCAGAGCTGTCAATCAAGATATTGCTTGATTTTAAGTTGTAGTGGATTATGTTCATTTGGTGCAAATGAGCCAAACCTTTAGCTGCACCCAGAATAATATTGAACCTCTCGTTCCAATGGAGAGTTTTCCCACCGGATCCTTCATGGAGGTGCTTGTACAAATCTCCACCAGAAACAAATTCATATATAAGAAGCTGTAGCGATGAAGTCCAGTAATAACCTTCAAGTGCCACAAGATTACCATGATGGACTTTCCCCAAGTTTTTAACTTCCCTTTCAAAGTCTTGTTGGGACTTGACAAGACTTGAAACAGTGAGTTTCTTGATAGCAACTGAACGCCCGTCTTTAAGCATAGTACGGTAGACAGCTCCAAATCCTCCACGCCCGAGTTCACAATCCTTGTTAAGCAGAGCATGTGCCCCTGTGCTAAAGTCAGGTTCGCCTGAAAACATGACAAGCTTCCCAGAATTGCCATCTGTGGTAGGTGACTGGCTAAAGTCATTGCCACCAAAATAAGCATGGGCTGCTGCCGATCGAGATGTGGAGGCAGTTACACGAAGATTAAGCACGGTGATTGCAATGACACCAATGAAAATTGAAGCAGCTGCACCAATGGCAATGAGGGTTGAAGTGCTTAGGATTTTATTTCCATGATGAAAGCTTTGGGAGAATGTACCAGGGGTGGCGTCTGTTGAGTTGGGATTTAGCACAAGTGGCTTGGGAAGGACAGTAAGGCAACTTTTATTGACTGGCGACCCACAAAGGGACGGATTGTCAGAGACGGCAGAGGGAGCTATGGTGTTGAAAAAACCACCAGCAGGTAATTCACCATTTAGCTGGTTGTGTGATATGTTAAATGACTGCAGGTGGACAAGATTTGCCAGCTGCTTTGGTATGTTTCCTGTAAGATTGTTGAAAGAAAAGTCGACAATCTGAAGGTAAGCAAGTTTTGCGAGGGATGTAGGAATGGAGCCACTTATTTCATTATTTGCCAGGGACCTGAAAAATTCAGTAAAAGCCAAAAAGAGCTCAATTAGAATGGCAGTGCGAAACAAGGAGTTGCCCAAAATTACAGACCAATCAACTGTTCAGAAAGAACATTTTGTTGCAGTTGTTTTCTTTCTGTGAACAGTGTGCACCTACAAAATGTTATCCAAATTACTCAACAGACTACAAATACATATCGACCCATTAAATACCAAATGCATTTAATTCTACATGCCTTGACTTGAATCAAAACCAACCTATTTGATATCTTCTAGATTAAACATTTCATCAACTCTTGCAATCAAAAAATTTCCCACAAAAGGATGGCTAAGAACCTTAACAAATTTGAGGCAAATGATGCAACTGAATTAGAAATCGACATTTGAGCATAAAATTCAATAGCCAACATGCTCAAAAAAAAATACTAGTTTTTCTCAGAATCCCATGAAACCATTTTGCAGGTTGCATGGTTGTCACATAAAAATTGCAAAAAGAAAGTGAGAAAAATGCAAAAAGGAAGCCAAAATAAGTCATAAAGCCTGGGGATATCTTACAAGGACATCAGTGAAGAGCAGTTCCCAATTGAATTGGGAATGTTGCCTCCCAATGAGTTTTTCTCTAGTGTCAATTCCTTAAGAGATATAGCACTTCCAATTTCCAAAGGGATACTAGTATTTAACTGATTTTCGCTCAAATCAAGAATTTCCAAGGTCTTCAATTGTCCAATATTTGCAGGAATGCTGCCTAAAAATGAGTTTCTTGACATATTCAATAACTGCAACCCGCTACAGTCCCCAACAGCTGATGGAATTTCACCAGATAACTTATTCTGTGAGACATCCAAAATCACAAGCTTTCTACGAGAGTTCTCTGTCGATGAAGCAAGAACACTGTCCATGCTCCCACTTAATCCATTATCCGAAAACAGAACTTGTTGTAAGCCCAGTTTCAATACCCAAGAAGGAAGATCACCAGTCAGGGAATTATGGCTGATATCCAAAACCAGAAGGTTAAGGCAATTGCTCAAGGACTCGGGCATGATTCCAGTAAGGCCATTCTTGGATACATTTAGAACCTTCAACGACTGAAGCTTCCCAATAGCATCAGGAATTTGACCACTGAAGTTATTTTCAGAAAGATCCAAGGTTTCAAGGCTTCTCATTTCTCCGATCCATTCAGGCAGCTCCCCGGTAAATCCATTTTTACATAAAACCAGGGCATTACACAGGGCAAGCTTCTGCATTGTGCTTGGAAGTCCTCCATAAAGAGAATTTTCACTCAAATCAACCGACCTCAGAAATAAACAATCCCCAATTCCATCAGGAACACCACCAGTAAATTGATTCTTCCTCAAACTTATGCCTCTCAAATTGCTCAAGCCACCAATGCCCTGAATCTCACCCTCCAACAAATTATCAGACAAATCAAGCGACCTAAGCCCCTGCAAAGACCAAAGCCCCGAAGGCAACAGTCCTGAAAACTGATTGCCTGAAAAGTTCAGCAAAATGACAGTTGAGCACGAGCCCAAACTCTCAGGAATTTGCCCTGAAAACTTGTTTTTAGCCAAAGATATTGATTGTAAAGATCCACATTGCCTAAAAAACTCACTCTCAATTGGCCCGGAGAAACTATTCTCACTTAAGTCCAGGACCCTTAAATTAGAAAGCAGGGAAAAGCTGAGGCTTATGGGTCCCGTAAGATTGTTTCTTACAAGCGAAAGCTTTCGGAGAAACTGCAGTTGAAGGAGGCCTCTACCTAATTTCCCTGAAAGCCCAAAGCCATCAAGAACAAGGTCAGAGACTCTATTGGATCTAGGGTTGCACTTAACCCCAACCCAATTATTACAAGGACTCTCATCATCTTCATTCCAAGAACTTAACTTCCCTTCGGGATCTTGAATGTCAGCCTTGAACACAATCAACCCAAGAACATCATCATTTAAAGAAGGGCTCAAAGATTTCACCCAACTTGATGAGGACAAACAAACGAAAAACAGAATAATGACTAGAATTATTCTCATTTTCAAGAAAGAAATGAAAAACGCGTACAATATTTAAGGCATTCTCTGGTTTGACGACGCTAAAGCCAAATTTTTCTTCGTTTTGGGAACGAAATGACGGATTCTTGAACACTTTCAAAACCTCAACAACGAAACGCTACTGCATAAACCCATAAAAACTGACAAAAAAATGTATACATACAAATAAGTGGCGTATCAGATTTTGCCTCTTTAAACGGCTAGAAATTACAATCACCAGAAAAGTAAGAAAAACCTCAAAAAATTAAAGCCAAAACCCGTAAAGAACCCAATCGAACACCTCATTTAGCAAGAAAACACCCAAAAAGATAATATAATCTCTGTAACCCCGTACAGTCAAGCAAAACCCATAAAGAAAGGAATAATGGGGGACAGAGTAAGGGATTTTAAAGAGAACCGTTGCTTTAGACTTGAAGTGAATAAGAAGAAACGAGTATTCAATCTGCCACTGCCTGTGAAAATGTGAGCTCAAGAGTGAAAAGCTTCACGAGAACATTCTTATGTAGATTTTCTCAGCTGAGGTGAAAAAATGGAATTGAGTCATCGGAAAGCGAGGTCGCCGGAGACAAAGGGTCAGTCATGCTCTCCGTCTCTCTCTAAAATCTCTCACCACTTACTTTTGTGTCCGAGAGAAACGTTTATGGGGTATTTTTATAAGGGCATTTGTAAGGATGTCCAATTTTAGATATGTTAATTAAAAAATATCTATTTTTGATAATTTTTGTAAAAATGGTTAAATTTAATATCAAATTCTCTATTTTATCCTTAATGAAAGAATAAATAATTTTATATTGTAAATGTCAAATCACAATTAATGCTAGGCACAGAAATGTCGAGAACAACATTTAAAGTGTAGAGAAATGTCATGTTCGGAATGAAATGTCATTCTAAACATTAATATGTCGAAAACAACGTTTGAAATGTCGAGAACATTTAATATTGTGATTTTACATTTGTACTTTTAAAATAAAAAAGGATTCAAATATCGAGAACGATACTTGAAATGTCGAAAACATCATTTTAACGCAGTTTCTCATGGAAGCTACTTAGGGGTACTCTCGTCCAAATAATTGCAAAAAATGGACATTGAAAAATTTTGGACATTTTTACAAATAACTATGTCAAAATGGACATTTTTTGTAATTTCCTTTTTTTTTTTTATAAATGGCCAAAGAAATCATTCACAAACCTTTTAGGTTCAACTTAATATTAAAAAAAATTTCGAGGCATTTTTTATGTTAAAATGTTCAATTTATCCTTGTACATATTGTTTAAATATTCCAAATGCCCTTAATATATAATAACCAAAATGCTCATTTTTCAAATTATAACATCTAGTTTTCTTTTTTGAAATTCCAGCTTCTTCTTCTTCTTCAGTTTATCTACAATCCTCTACTTCTTCATTCTTTTCACTTTTCTAGTTTTACTCGAAGTATAAAGAAACATATTCAAACAACGAACCCTTATATTTCTACATTTTATATTGGTAAGATAATCTTCTCACTTGTAGTTATTTTTTATCTTTTATTTTTTTATTTGTACATATATTCATTGTCATTTCTATTTATTTAAGAATTTGAATTCATTTTTCAATCTCAAGTGGCTTTGAAAAGCAAAATCTTGTATATTTTAGTTGCAGGATCGAAATTGACGTTTTTAAATGACAGAATAGTCGTTTAAAACAATCATAGAAACGACTGCAATCACTTTAGATTACAATAATTGATTAATTATAGCTATGGACTCAATAACATGGATTGCTATATTTTATTTTGGTGATTTTATTAATGATGATGAAGGAAAATGAATATGGAAACCAAGCGGGGTGATGAAATGGTGGAAGGAGTTCCAATATTTTCAAATACTTCATATTATGATCTATATTGTGAAGTGCTAAACATTTGCAAAGTTGATTCATCTTCACATGAAATTGAGATGAGATTTCTTCTACCTTGAAATGGACAGTTTTCAGTTCCAATTAAAATTATTTTAGATAGACAAGTGCACTGGTTGCTATCTCTCAACAAATAGAAATTCTCATTATCTAATTTGTGTAACTCTTGTGACCAAAGATTGAGTTGACCATCCACGAGAAGAAGAAAATGAATCG